AAAAAAATAAATCAGCATTTACGTGATGAGATCAGTCGATTTTCTGCTCACTGTGAAGTTATCATAAAAAGAAAAGTTGAATTAGAGCAAACTGAACTTTTCATTTCAAGAGATTTGCTTATTGGTATATAGAGTATCAAGTAGTTTTGGTCTTTGCATTAAAATGTGATGGATGATACATGTTTTCCGTCACAAAGTATTTTATTTGATATTAAAATTTTACTTAAGCCCATGGGCCACGGAAAAGCCGTTTTCGTACTGACAAGTTAATAAAAACCACTTAAAGACATCCTCCCAGCAGTATCGTAAGCGAAAGGAAGAGAGGAGGCCAGGATTAGTATTCAATGGTTATTAATTGTGAAAGATAATTTCGCTCCATCTAAGGGAATCTAAGACTGGATTCTAGATTCCAACCGTTAGTGGGAGTTTGGATTCCTTGAGCTATATTCCGGATTCCAGAAGGAAAATTTTACTTGATTCCGGATTCCACAGGCATTAATTTCCCGGATTCCGGAATCCGAATTTCCTTACATGCGACGAATGATTACAGAAATTTCATATGGTGCGCGATAATGGCTTTTATCTGGCTGATCATTCCTTACCAGGTAGATGACAGTAGTACTCCGATTTCACAATCTTGCGAGAAGTTGTCAACGACGAGGACGAATTCCTGTCTTTTCCTTTCGAATACATTACAACATGGATGTTAAAAACCTCCATATATTAGTCCTATCACTAAGGCCTGGTTCAGACGCCGTACTTTTCATGTGCCGAACCTAATTGAATAAGTTCGACTTCGGAGCGACACTGGCGCGACATCTGATTCAGACGGCGCACCATGTTTTGCGCCCAAGCTAAGTTCGACAAAAGTTCTACTTAACGCTTTTGCCGCACCAAACTAAGGGTGCGTTCCTTTGGGACGATCCAGATTAGGATCAGTGATCCGAAAACACTCGAAGCATGGTAGATCAAACGAACCGATGAATCCACTCTGCGCAAGGTGGCGTTAGAGAGTTTAAGCAGCGACGTTTTTGAGCGACGCACGTCGACCGAAAGTGGACTTTTTGCACTCTTGAGCGGCGACTTTGAACACATTTTTTGGACTAATCGTCTCCATAAGATTAAGGTCACTAAGTACTACAGATTTGGTAGCGTCAAGGCATTTACAAATTTAAAAATGGCGAACTTCTGGTTAAAGTGGGTCGCTGCTTAAACTCTCTATTGTCTTTGACCGCTCCCAATCCATACGATAGCCGTCTGCAGATGGAATGGTTTGCTTTTTGGAGCAGTAATGAGCGAGAACTGGCGCATGTGTCATTTTTTCTTCAAGCGACAGAGAGACTCTCTTTCAACTTGGTCCCAATCGTTTCCCTCTTGCCTGATAGAAGATCCCGAACGGAAGAAGTGTAGTCTTTTTAGACAGGTTTTAGATAAGCTTCTGTTGATGATTGATCACTTATCAAAATGTTCTAGTCTGAGGAGGGGCCCATTGCTTTTTGTCGGTTCTTTCTCTGATCAACCTTCTTAAAGCAATTTGCAGTCATTCATTGTGTTCGTTTTGTGAACCTCGATATAACAAACGTCTCGCTATATAACGAACGATTTTCTTCGCCCCAGTAGGAAGAGAACCTCGATATAATGGAACCTCGTTATATAATCTAACAATTTTTGACAGTGACTTGAAGTTGGCCCTACTATCGAGGTTCCACTCTTGCTCATTTACATTCTCTTTTTAAAAACTTTCTGGTGCTGATTTTTAGCCAAAGGGAAGTTGCTGAAAACAATTTCTGCCGAAGAAAACTAAGAAAAGTAAGAGTGTTGTTAAATAATAAAAACTAATTAAAAATTTGATCGTACCAACTGAGTTTTTAAGGTAGATCTGTCTCCCTTGGGAGATTGAAAAGCTGTCCTTTCGAGCGCTAGCATCTTGTCGGAGCGAACATTATTAATGATGGAATAGAGAATTAGCTGTGAAGTACAAAATCAGGTGCTAGAAATAAGCATTAAAAGCCCAATGACCGCAACAACACTAGTAAAGGAATTAGGGAAACCAAGAGACAAAGAGAGAAAGCTTTATACCCCTATGCGATGAGATCTACCATTGCTTTACCTACTAAGCTGCGAGGTTTGGACTTTTTGAAATCGTAGGTAGTTATGATGGTGCATCGTGGCGAAGAGTGGGTTCTGATGTGTTATTTCTAGCTGTTGAATTTTCACTCGAGTTATCTCTCTCTTCCGTCATTTGTTTCACAGTGCCAAACATTGATTAAGTTTAATACATACCGTGAAATACATTAACACCGGTTACGTAGCCGATTCTGTATTCGTGTAGTTGTGACCTTTCTGTTACTGGTGAGTCCTTCAATCTCAAGTAAATTTCGGAGCTTGGTACCATCCCCGTGGATCTCATATCGTACTTAATACCAACGAGAATTTTGGGCGCCCTACCAGTTCGGCCTGTTGGAAACTCAAGTCTCTTTGTGTTCATCCCTTGAAATGATAATGTATTGATTCCTGTACCAAGTGTACCCCAAAAACAGTTCTGGTGATAAGTTTTGTAATTGCAAGGTACTCCTGTAACCTGGAGTAAGTCGTCCCCTGCACCTGTATCAACTCTGATTGAATGATCTGAGTACGCAAGGCCTGTCATTTCTCCAATCACAACATTATCAGGGTTTCTCTCTTCTTCATCGTTTGCTACTCGAGTGTCAATATTAACTCCTCTTATCCAAAAGAGCTCGGCGACCATAGCCGTGTTAGCAACGACCGTCATTCCCTTTCCGTTGGGTTTTGTTATGTTCCCATAGAAGTCATAGCCAATCGGAACTATACCTTTTGGCCTGAAAATGATATTGCCATATTCTGACTTGTCAAACATTCGGTTCTTTCCCATTGTAAGGTAGCCGTTCTCTTGACCTGGACTGATTGTAGCCTTAAACATGATATTTGGATCATCATCAACGCCCGAAATATGTTGAACTGACTCGGTACGCATCCCTTGTATCAAATTTCCCTGATTAATTTCGTAAATGGTGTCAAAGCCAGTATTTTGCTTGAATGCGGGAGTGACTTGATGGGTGATGTTTACTTGGTTTTGAAGATACAACAGCGAACCTTCTTTGAGTTTCTGTATTGTTTCAAGATGATCTTTTATTGTGCCGTAAGGATTCACAGAATTAATCAAGTCAACGATGATTGCTGCAAGCGAAAGCAAGCATCCTATAATAGCGCCGACAGGACCTGCCACAGCAGCCAGTGTGCTTCCAGCCGTGGCCAATGCCCCCACAACGAATGCTGTCACTCCAACTGCTCCGCTGGCCACCCCCAGTGATGCACTTGCAATATTCAAAGACTTCACTTCGGGTGGAGAGTCTTCATCATTGATTGCGTTATGCAGTTGCCAGCCACAAAATGCAACATTAGCGGCATCAAAGAGAGGCCCACTTATCGTGTCGGCCCATTTTAACGCCTTCGCCCACCGTTTTGCATTTTTTAGACTTGTCACGAGATCGTCGTGTCCCTGGGTATTTTTCATAAATGTAGTAACTTCGTTGTCAAAAAACTCTCCTATTTTTCTCTTTAATGCTTTTGCACTATCAATAATATCATCAACATCATCTGCATTACCGCTGACCACTCGTTCTGCCACTACTTTGTTATACTCTTTAAATCCACTGATTGTTTGAGGAAATTTTCCCTTGTGTTTTACTAACTGATCAATCAGTCCAGACGCGATAGGGGATACTGTTGCTTGTGTTGTGTCGAACACGGCTAGCGTTGCGATAGCGATGTTGAGTGTTTCCATTGCTTTTTCTTTCTCTCCTTGCTCCATTTGGGAAATCGAGCCAATTACACCAGATCTCCACCAGATACCAGTACCACCTACATACACTGATGTTAGTGATGAACCTGTACTTAACATTCGAATCGGGTCAGCTAGATTTAGAATGTTATCCTGAATCTTTTTTAAACCACGTGCCCAACTTGCTCCTGCTCTAAGGCTGTCTATTTCTGGCAAGTAGAAGAGCGAAAGCACTGTGCACAGAACCAAGATGTGCGGCATTGCTAGATGTCTGCAAATTGATTGAAAATTCATAATGTCACATCGTACTAGCACCAGTACTTCGCTATTGTTAAATAATGATAATGATGATGATGATGATGATGATGATGATGATGATGATAATAATGATTTACCCATGATAACCCTTCAGTACAAAGTACTGTTATCAACGGGGTCCTGCTGACTAAGAATTAAAAAACTAATAATTAAAATAAGAATTACCAAAATATATGAAATAAAATACATATTTTAAAAACCAAACATGCACAAAGAAATTACAAGTAATAATAGTAACAGGCTTCCCTAAACTTCAACGTAATGAACAAGAAAATCGAGGCACATAAAAATTAAAATCTACGTTGCGCAAAATCCAGTTTGGCCTTTAGCAGTTTTGCTGTTTTTCCATACTTTCTAGTGTTTAAAGCGTTATGATTAAATTCTTAAAAAACAATTTTAAATGGAAAACATGCAGGATTTTCATTAAGGTAGTCAAATACAAAGCAGTACACTCTCTTTTGAAAAAGGTTGTCAGTTGTTAAAAGTCGAATATCAAACTTCTGCGGGTGGCTACAATTCGGGGAAATGATTTCGAAGCTTCGGTTCTCGATCAATGGAGCGGATCATGTGTTTGCGGGACTCTGACCATCCAAGACTATTATAACCGCAATACGTTAATATTGGCATAATCATCTATTGGTAAGTTCGTTGGGCACTGAAAGTATCAATGCTGGAATGGATGCGCCGTAAGAGCTTTACTCTTCCTGCTGTCGTCTAGTAAATTTTGTGAAAATGCGTTTCCAAATTAAGTGTCCAGAAGTACGACGAGGTCTTATAACATGAAGTGGTCTGGATGGGAGAACTGTTGGCCGAGAGCTTGACTTGACGGCGATATGAAATAGATTCAACCGTTAACAGGTACAAAACAGCATCACCTCAGATTTCAGATTTTTCCTTCTTCAGATTAAAGATAAATTCATTATCACGAAAGTAGTTATAGAGATTATCCAAGCTCTGAGAAAGGTTATCTCGCATCGATATCGCTTGAGGATGTAAAAATCACTGTTTCATCGGTATAGGTGATAATCTCACAGTGACGAAGGGAACTAAGCACATCATTAGCGAAGATAAGAAAAAGGAGAGGCCCCAAAATACTTCCTTGAGGAACTCCATTGTAAACAGGATTTGGTTCAGAAAGCACACCATTAAATTGAACGATCTGCTTGCGAAGGAATAAGTGATCAATAAACCATCGCAGCTCCACATTATATACGCCAAAACTAGACAGTTTTTTTAAATATAACGAAATGAATGATGGTATCAAACGCCTTTGTTGAGTCAATAAAAGCCGTTTCTGTTGCTTTACTATTATCGGCCTCCTTTCTTATGAGATCAGTGAAGTAAGTGTGACAGCTAGTTGGACGGACACCAAACAAGCGCTCAAAAGGTAGACTATGACGCTCTGGATGAGCCATCAGCTGCTTGAAGACTGTTTTCTCCAAATTCTTTGACAAAGGAGGGAGAACTGCGATTGGTCTGTAAATTGTCAATCTCAGCCATACAACCACATTTGTAGAGGTGAATCACCTTTGCCACTTTCCACTTTCCAGGCCCAATTCCAGTTTCGAGAAATAAGTTGATGATTAATGTCAAAGGCTTAGTAAAAGCAAGAGCAGCGTCTTTAAGCAATCCCGGGGGGATCATCCAGACGCTTAAGATTTTTTAGCTCTTTAAGAATTTCTGATTCTTTCACAACTTTAAAATTAAACTGACTTTCCGTAACTTGATTGGAATTATTTTCTTCAGACAAAGAAAGTTTCATTTAGCTTGAGTTGCTTTTCATATTCTTAGCAATGGTACTGAAATATTCGCAAAAGCTGTTTGCAATGAAGCTTTTGTCAGTTGACTTTGATCCGTTTATTAGAAACGGCGAGCCTTGCTCAGAAGGAAACTTGGTAGGATAGAGTTTCTTGATGGCTGCCCAAAATTTATCAGGGAGTCCGCACAATCCTCACGGAGATCTCGATTATTTCTGCTTGTACATTTTTTAACAAGGCCGGAGACTGTTGTTGCGGTGCCATTTATAGGAAGACAAATCGTTTTTTTTTATTAGTCCGGCAGATTGGTCTCTTTTTTGACATCCAGAGTCAACCAAGGACACAGTCGGCCTTTGACCTCCTTTGAAAAAGGGGAGCGTGCTTGTCGATACATCGTTGCAGAATGTCTCGAAAAGTCAGGCTCACGCCTCATTTACCCCGATGAGTAAACTTCTACAAAATTCGCAGAACTTAGCTCTTCGCAAAATAGCTCAACGTGGTAGTTAGCCGATATTTCGGCAGGTAATGATTCGTGGATTGAACATAATTAAACATTGTTCAACTCGAGAGCACATCCAATGAGTTCACGATCGCTCAAGCCAGCTGGGATTACTTTCACCGAATAGATGTTATGAGGTTCGTTGCTGCAAGTAACATCCATTAGGGTCTTGGACTCGGGTGTAATTCTCGCGGGGCTGGTAATGAGTTGTTTCAGACCAAAGGAGGAAAGAATGGATTTGATTTCTTTACAATCCGAGGACACCGAATAGTTACAGTTTATGTCAGCTGAGAGTATACATTCTTTGTTTTCAGCTGACACTGTGGAAAGCATTGATTCGCATTTGCAATTGAAATCTACGCAGAGATGTTTAGAAGAATGCGGAGGTCCGTAAATGATTCCACCTATGCGAAAACATTTAGTTTTAGGGAATAATATCTCAATCCAGATGCATTCAATATCCTCTTTTTGAGATCCCTTCGTCTTTGAAATGGAATAGATGAAGAAATATAAGCACCAACAATTCAACCTTGAGGAGAAGCCCTTGGCTTTGCAATAAACGTGTATTCCTTCTATTTGGACCTCGGCTTCGCTTTCGAGGCTTTCGAGGGATAGACGTGTTTCGCTGACCGAACAAATGTGTTCGTGCCCCCACCATACACAATCGTCTGGAATATTCTGCGACTTTGCAGAGCTATGTCTTCGCTCTGTTTTGACGTATCATGTTTAAACTGGTAGATAACCTCATTTCAATGCCTTCCCTCAAGTGTCGATGGATATTCGCTTAATGCTCTCTATGTAAAGTTGAAAAAACCGTGGAAAAGTCTACTGTGCCAGGGTGTTAGAAATGTTATTTATAAGCAACTGGTTTTTAATCAGCCAAACCAGGAGCAGACAAAAGGAAGGTGAGGTAAGAGGATTGACAATTTTGCCGTGAACAGACTCGACTTTCGTTAACTTGCGAATTTAGCGACTTTCGAGATTCTCTCATTAGTTTCATCAGTAGGTACCGTGGGAGGAGTTTTGTCAAACGAATTGCGAAGCGAACTTTTACAGACTCCAGAACTGACTTACATCCGAGGCAGCCGAACTCCAAAAGTTTTGAAAGTTTAACACACCCTTCCTTGTTGGTACTGAACGTTCACTACAGGCTCTTAAAAACACAAGTTTCAAGGAAAGACAACAACTCCTTCCTCTACTTTTTGTGGTTAAAAGCCCCTATTTTTTCAGCCACCTCGCTGCCCTGCTGTTGGAAAAAATGCAATAAATGCAAGCACGAAGGACACTTTCCACCAGTGTGCAAACAACTAAGTGTTGAAGGATCACAGGTTGCAGCCGTGGAACATGAGACCTCGTCTAATCACGAATTGCACACACATTTTGTATCTGTTGAGGTGGGTTAGTGAATCCTGCACTCGAAAGAAAACTAGGAAAAGAGGAACGGATCAAAGGAGATGCTGGTGCAGAAGCTACAGTCATCCCTTATAAGCTGTACAAGGAAATCACAAACAAACCTCTTCCGAAAGTTCAATCTGCTGAATCTTTTTGTTGATGGAAATCTTAAACCATTGCTGGCTTGTAATGCTTTTGTAGACTCGAGTTTATGAACTTTGGGTTGAAATGAATACTTCAGGGTGAAAACCACCTGGGAAGAAATGCCAGGTTTCTTCTAAACCTATCCTTTGTTGCGGGACTATGAAGGTTTGACAAACTACAGGCAAAAGAAAAGAGCACTCCACCCTCGAAAAATGATGTTCGAATTTGTATTGACCCAAGGGACCTAAACAAAGAACTTAAGAGACCATAAAATCCAATGGGTTCTACATACGAGGTTGCTAACCGACTAACAGGTGCTAAGAGTTTCAATTCCTTTGATGTATGCAGTGGGTGCTGGCCACTTCAATTACCTAGACACCAAGTTCATTGAGCACAAGGCCAAGAACAGCCAATTTCACAACTTATCCACAAAGATGTAGCATTTGTCAGGGGCACCCAACAGGTAATTTCGGTAAATATCTGTTCGGAAGGAAGGTCCACTAGAATTTTCGAATATTCGGCGACTTTCGGTTTTCGATTTTCGATTTCTGAACCATAGATTTCCTAGATATGTCGCGTTTTCTGACAGATTTCCAAGTTATTTCGCTAAGTTTGAAAACCGCACTGAAGAGGGCTAGAATTTTCGCAAAGAAGGCCTGAACAGTGAAGAGCGCTGGAATTTTCGCAAAAAAGGCCTGAAACCTTAAAATTGTCGATGGCGACTGATATAATCTTTATTTTCAATTGATACCTTTTTCTGCATTCTACATTTTTACTTCGCTGCAAAAATTAGTTTTTCAAGGCGCGAAACGTGCGCTGTCCGCTTTCACGCTTTTGCCCCCATCGCTCCAGACCAGGGCGGATAAAGGTTGGCCGGTGAAACGAGCGCTCCGCTCTTCATTTAATGTGTGATGCGGGGTAGGACTGGCACGAGCGCTCTTTCCGCGCTTCCGGTGCGCTTGAAGGCCGGCGAAATTTTCCTTTTTGCAAACCGGAAATTCTATTTTCTTTTTGTAATTTAAGGCTACAATGTGAAATAGCTAAATTCGTTTCATGACAGTATCAATAAACAGCTTCATATGTTTGTGTCTGTGTGCCTATAAGTCAAACTTGTTGGTTGTATAATGCCAAAATTTGAGTTTAATTTGAAA